TTAGCCAGCCCAGACCCGTTATATTTATATAGAAATCATGTCAATCAAATTCTCTATAACCACAATCAACTAAAGTTCCGTGAGACTAGCTAATTCCAGCTCGCGATTATACGCTAACTATGCAAAGAAAATCGCTTTTAGTTTAAGTGTGCTTAAGACCCGCTAAATGAGGTTAAGTTGAAAGATGCGATAAACAACGTTGCCTTCGCAGCTTTTCTAATTGCTTGAGTGGGGATAGCTTAGTCTGGCTGAACTCGGGTTGAAAGCATCGAGAAAATACGCTTAAGAAACTGATTTTACAGACAAAGTGAGGTTAGGTTACTTTTAGACTTGTAGAGGTTAAGTTAAAACGGCAAGCTAAGAGCTTTCAGAACTTATGTGGAGTTAACTAAACATAACTGAAATAAACTTGAAAACAAATCATCTTTTAGGTTACGTTCGACTAGCTAAGGTTAGGTTGAAAGTTTCAATTTTCTTAAAACTTGAGTGAACTTAGTTTTAACTTCTTGACCTTAAGTTAGAATGTCAATGAGCTTGGCTACTTAAGCAGCTGTTCTTAAAGGTTATAGATAATTGGCTATATTTAATGAATTGGTTATAGTTAATGAAATCAGATTGAAGTTATAAAGATAAGATCAAAGCATTTCAAAACATTCCTGTCATTGTAGGAAAGAGGCTCACAGAACTTTTTATTGAGCTTTAGTTCACATATCATATATTGAATTTTCAATAAAAAAAAAAAAATAATTGCAAAAATAATACTAATTAATAAAATGCATATTTAATAAGTGCAAACAAGAATTATTTTTTAATTTTTATTCAAACAATAAATATCAACTGTTAAAGCGCTACAAAAACCTCATTTACACGCAATTAAAATTATTTGCAATTATGGTAAATATAATGAGTAATTATAATTAGCATTATCGTTATAATGATGATTATCAGTGCAATCACTCGCATTGACCCAAACTCGGACTTTTCATTTGATGGCGTCAAATGTCGAGTAGGAAATGTGTGCAGAAAATTAAAATTTGCACTTCAATTGAGCGACAGAAAGAGTGAAAGAGACAGCAACAACAAGCGTGGGCTTTGAATAAATAAATGAAAAATAATAATATTAATAAATATGTTTATTAAAGCTCTCGAACCAATGGAAATGTCCAGATGATGGCAAATTTATTAATCGTAAATGTAAATTGTTGCGAAAATTCATATTTTTTATACAGTTATTATATATGTGTAATATGTAGTATTTATATGTAAATATATTTGTATATTAAAAATTTTTTAAAATATGATATAGAGAAGGCAGATTTAAATTAATAAAATTAACATTAAATAAATGTTTATCCATAGGAAGAAGAAGAAGAAGCAGTTATGAAATAAATAGATAGGACATTAAAGCCTTGATATATTGCACAAAGTGTAGTTAAGGAAAGAGAAGAAGGGGGAGAACATGTAATCCAGAAAGTTGATTTGACTTTATGAAGTCATAGAAAGACCTGCAGCTATTGAGTACATACAGTGTTGGATGGGTATAAAGGAAAGCATGTTATGAGAACCAAAGGAGCTTACAGCTTTTTCCCTCACTATAATTTACTAATTTATTCTCTTATAAGTTCCTGCCAAACATTTCATAAGCTCCTATTCCTCTTTACAATAGAATTTGAAAGAATATTTCCAATTAATTATGCTGTCAAGTATTCTATTTTCAATTTGAATAACTTAATGGCCCTTTCGTTTCGGGAGCACCCAAAAAAAAAAAAAAAAAAAATGGGGAAACCACACAGCTACCTCAATAATTTCCATTTGCGAGTAAGGCAACTGAATTCAACCCATTCCACTTGCTGGCTTTTCTGGTTCTTCTTAAATTTTCATCAGCCTGCCCAGCAGCCACCCACGGGGCGGCAGGAAACTAATTAGTTACATTGTAGTTGCATGGTCTTCGGTCTTCATCCGTCATGTGACTGCACAGCAGGCGGCTCCAGGGAGGAGCCATTGCCATGGCCCGAGTCAGAGCCAGAGCGAGCCACAGGCTGTGCTGTTGCTTTCAACGCCGCATTTATAATTAAACAACATGAAAGACACAAAGAAGCAACGCACACACACACACACACACACACACACACCTGGTCACACACAAGCACACACGCACACACAGAGACAAAGTGAGTCTCTGAAAGTTACACGACGGCATTTATGAGCGCCCATAATGGTTGTTAACAATTTAACTTGTTTACCAGTGGGAAAGTTCTATGTTAATTGGTCTCAAATAGCCTCACACACACATACACACACACACACACTCCTACACACACACACACACATATGTGAACTGTGCGCCCCATTGTACTCGGCAGCTGTGGCGGCACTTGCCAAGTGAATAATGGCAGCCAACCAGCCTCAGCGTCACCTGTGCCTGACCCACCTCTGGACCCGCAAGCGCACCCGCCCCCGCCCCCGCTCCCTCTGCGCCTCTGTCATCATTAACACGTTGCGCCTACGCCTGCGTGCAACAGGACAAGGATTACGACCACAGACCACGTGATCCCTTACAAACTTGTGTTTGAGTTCTGTTTGAGCTCGCTCCTCCCCCTCTCCCCCTCCGCCTTGGCCGCCTTCACATTCGAGTCCATTTGGCACAACGACAAATTTTTTCTTTTTTAAGTGCCGCATTCTCGTCGCGTGTGCACATATTAAATTTAATTTGTTATTTTAATACCCTGTAAATGCTAGACAATCGAAAAAAGTTCTATTGAGTTGTTAGATTAAAGAAAATGAATCAAGATGATTTATAATTGCCTTTAAGTAATAATCTTCGTATTCCTATACATATATATTAGATTATAATTGCATTCTACTTTTGGCTCTTAAATAATATATAATTCTTTTTGTAATTACTCTGTAAATACTTGGCAATCGAGAAGAGATATACTCAAAGCTGCTATTGATTAACATTTTAATATCTGTAATTTAATATCTGTAAATTCCAATTATGGAAGCTGTTCATTTAACATTCCTTAAATTCTTCGTTTCAATTGACATAATTTAAGTTAATTGGTGAAGTGAGTGTGCATGCAATGTGGTTGAATAAGCTTTAGGGGCAACTAAAATTAATATGGGTTGCTTACAATGGGAATAAGGGTTTTTCAATCAAATTTAATATGTTATTTTAATACCCTGTAAACTCCGGGTATATGAAAAGAGTTGAATGGATTTAGGAATGGATTATATAGGCTAAGAGCTACGTCTACTAGTATAACAACTACTTCTACTACTACCAATGCTTCTAAAACTACTACTATAATTAATACTTTTACTACTATTACTACTATAACTAATGCCTCTACTACTATAACTAATACTTCTAATACCATTAAATAACTAATACTACTACTACAATAACTACTACTACTAAAACAACTATGACTTCTACTACTACTACTACTCTAACTATAACACCTACTCCTACTTCCACTACTATTACTACTACTACTACTATAACTATATCTTCTACTCATACTTATACTACTACTATAAATATTACTTTTCCTACTACTTCTACTAATACTATAACTATTACATCTACTACTATTACTCTACGACTACTAATACGTCTACCATAACTACTACTTCTACTACTACTATAACTATTACATCTACTACTATTACTCTACTACTACTAATACGTCTACCATAACTACTACTTCTACTACTACCAATATTTCTACTACTACTACTACTATTACTACTAAAACTATTACTTCTACTACTATTAGTAATACTACTACTACTTCTATGACTGCTGCTTATACTTTGAGTGCACTTCAAAAGTATATTATTATTCAATTGAAAATTCTATATATTATTTATCATATATCTTAGCTCCGACTTCTTTTATACAACTAATTTCAAATATATATTTTCACTTTTATGCTACATAATTTATACTTTTACTGGGTATATGCTTTGCCGACTCATTTGCATTGAATTCAACTTTTTGCTGCCTTTCCCGATAAACGAGTAACTAATTTTGCAATTAAATAAAAGCGTTCGTAAATTACTTGAATATTTGTTTGGCTTGTTCGTATGAGTGTGTGTATGTACATCTGTGCATGTATGCATATATGCATGTGTGTGTTGGTGTATGTGTGTCTGCCATTTAGGGCAAGTATTTTTTAATTAAATTTTTCGGTGCTCAGGACAGAGTTAAGCGTTACGTATTGCAGGCAGATGCACACAGCACACAACGTGCCACAGTTGCACAAACTGTGTTGCAACATCAACTCGAATCTTTGTCAAAAAAAAAAGAATAAAGTCAACAACAACAGCAAACAAAGACAAAAGCAATATGCAGAACAAAGTTAAAAGCAAACACGAGGGGGGCGGGGCGACAGACACAAATAGAGCAAACTATCAAAAAACAAAACCAACAGACCAGACACCAGCCACGCCCACTGTCCCAGATGCCCCCCGCACACAGCTGTGTATGATTGATTGGCAAACAAATTTTTGACACTCTTGACGCGCGACCACGCCCACATGCGCATGTCAATTTTGCTGTTTGCCGTTAATTAAAAGTGCTGTAAAATGCACAAAAGCAAAAGCAAATGCAAAGGGAAAGGGAAACGCCAGCGGGGCTGGGTCAAAGGCTTGTTTAACCAAATATGAAAATGTTATCGATGAACCGGAAACGGAACCGGAAGCGGTCCATTAATGGCGAATAACGGATATCGCGAATAAACTGTTGAACTGTGCTTAAAGTAAATAGTCTGGATTGATGAAAGTTTATATCTAAGAATTCATCAACAGGCATTTACTTCAACTGCAGTTTAAACGAAATGCAACAGAAGCAGACAAACGGTGAAATGTGTCCAGAGAAACTTGTTCCATTAGATAATGCACTATATAATAATATATGTATGTCTTTAGATCTAGTTTAATTTCCAACTATTTGATATACGCTCTAACGACTTTTCTCTATTCGCTTCGAGCAGTTCGCCAGGAGAACGAGCGCAGCATGCGGGAGAATCTGGAACGCACGCTCATGATGAAGAATATGACGGAGTTGAATCTGCAGCGACAGCAACAGTTGCTGATGCAGGCGCAGCAGCAGCAGCAACACCAGCAGCAGCAGCAGCAGCAGCATCACAAGCCGCTGCAGCTTCCATAACAAACGCTTTTCGGCATTTCCTTAGGCAAGGGTAGTTGATGTACATCAGCCACTGCTGTTGCTACTTACCAACACTGGCGTTGTTCAACACTGAAACTCCCCACTCTCGACTCAACAAGTTATGCGCACAATACAAAAAAAAAAAAAAAAAAAAAAAAAAACAAATCTCTTTGTTAACTACAATTAGAGGAGACGAAGCGAAGCTACAGTGGATAAAAACAACTATTTAGCTCTTAAAAACACACAACAAAAATCCAAAACAGAAAATAATAACAAAAACTAAAAACAATACGTGTATTTAGCAGATTGTTAGTCAAAGAAAACATAAAATTAATGAAAAGTGATCCAGTTAAAAAATAAATAAATAAATAAAAAAAATGTTATTTATAAATACAAAAAGTTGGTTCGATTGCATTGTAAATGTATTTATTGTCAAGTATGCTAAAAAAAAAAAAAAAAAAAAAAAATTCACACACACACACAACTGTAATTTTTACGTGTTACGATCTGTTATCAACGTCGAGACTTCGACGTCGCACCAAATGCCAAAGCGCTTCAACTAGAAACAAGTTTTCAATAAAGCAAATCTGAAATAAGGGGATTTTTTTTTTTATTTTAAAAATAATTTAGTAATTTAAAAAAATGCAAGAAATGTAGGTTGGAGTTAAGTTGAGAGCTAAGCAAATGCTATGAATTCATTTAGGATTACGTTTTATTTTTATATATGTTTATTACAATATGCGAGCGTAGTCTGAAAGGTTTTTAAGCTCTAGTATATGAAGGATAAAGTTCGAGAACTGATGAAATACCTGCATAAGTAAAAGTTGTGTTACGCTGTTATAAGAAGTTATTAATTTAGTATTGCATACGAGGGCAGACTAAAAGATAAAGTTAATTCACTTTGCTTTAACCATATAAACATTTATATTTACAAAATTTTATTTATTAAGTTGTTAATTTATAAATAATTTTTTGTTATTAAATATAAAATAAAATAATAAAAAATAATATAATATAATAATATTTAATTTTTTTTTATATTATAAAAATATAAATAAATTTTTAAAAATATATTTTTAGTACTATTTTAATATTATAAAATACAATCGAATATTATTTATATTTATATTTTTAATTGAATTTTTTTTATGTCTATTATTTTTTAATATTCTTTCTAGATTTGCTAACATATTCTTTGCTTATTTGATTTTTACGTTTTATTTTATTAGTTGCAAAAATTTAAATAGCCAATAGACATAATTTAAAGGCAAAAGTCTTCTAAAACACACACAATTTGCTGTTGTTTTCCTCTCTGTCCAAAGAGCATGCATATGTATGTATCTGTCTATATATAAACTAATGGTAAACAAAAGGTTTCGCTAGTTTAGTTAGTTTGTTCATTGGTTTCACTTCCAACCTAATTTACTTTATTAACTAACTTCAGCCAACAGCATAAATTCTACTTTCTGCCCTCCCCAATGAAACTTTTGCGTAGCGCTTTTGGCATAGATGGGAGAATCAAAAACAAAAACAAAAACAGAAACAGAAAAAATCAGAGAAGAAAATAAATGTAAGGTAAAATAAAAATAGTTGCTCAATAGTTATGTATATCTGAAGCAAAGTTGTTAACTGAAAGTATTTATAAGTAAACAAAAAATAAATACAAAATAAAAACCAAGCGTTAAAAGCAGCAACAAGTTTTTGTAAGTCTTAAGTGAAAAATGAAGAGGAAATTAACTAGGAAAAAATTGAAAACAATTTTCAAAATATTAATAAAAAACTGAAAGCGTAATAAGTATTAAACAAAAAGGAGAGCAACAAATTAAACTAGTTTTAAATACAATTTAATTTGCGTGTGCCAAAAGAAAGAGATAGAGAGAAGAGGTAGAAGAGAAGGCGCCTAAATAATTGTTGTATAGTCTAATAAATTAGTTACTACAAAAAAAAAAAAAAAAAAAAAAATTAAATTAAAAACAAAAAGTTACTTAAGTGCAAAACGAGCTTGTTGTCAAATTAATTTTAAATTTAGCTTAAAAAATAATAAGTTACAGTTAAAAGAAAATAAAACTGTTTAATGCAAATGCAAAAGAAAAGTATGTGTGTATGTGCGAGCGATAAGTATATGTATATATGTATATACATTTATATTATACAAATATATGTGTATATATACATCTACATTTATATGGATATACATATATAGTTTGTTTTTACAGCCAGCTGTTGGCTATGTAAATTCTCTACAAACAGCCTCAATCGAGCGTATTAAATTTGTTTTTTCTTTCTTTGTGTATTTAAATACGAATGTGTGTGTGTGTGTGTGTGTGTGTGTGTGCGTGTGTACTTAGCCATGCTGTTGCCAATTTCCATAAAATTTTGCTTTAAGCATATATACTATATAAAGTATAAATTGATATATATATGTATGTATATATATATGCACATTCTATCGGTTTCAGCCGCAAAAAAGCTAACAAAAAACTAAAAGCTGAATTTCAGGCGCAGTCTAAGAAAATATTATAATTTGTTGCTCCAAACTTTCTGCCTCTTTTATTAAAAATAATAAAAAAAAGAATTGAAACAAGGGAAAGCAAATTGTTGAAGAAATAAAAGAATAAACAGCTCGAATTTTTGTGTAAGATTGTGCCTAATCGAAAGTGAGAAATATAACAAAATAATAATAAAACTAAAAAAGGAAATTAAATTAATTAATAATAAATACAATTACATTAAATTGTGTATAACTGGCGAGGGGAGCAGCTGCTAGAGCTGCTGCTAAATTATGAATTCAACTAAAAATCGATGTCAATAATGTTAACTGCTAGCGACTATTTAAAACAAAACAAACAAAAGTTCATATATAGAAACAATTAAAACATAATAGTAAATAAATGGAAAGCTTTAAATTTCAAAACAAATTCTGAATATCGAATAACTAAATTAGCAAAACAAAGTTTTTTTTTAGTTAAATGCGAAGCGAAATGAGAGTATTAGAGCCAACTGTTTAATAAATAAGCATGCCAACAGGCACAAAGACAGACAGAGACACACACGCACACACGTCTATACACACACATACATACACACACAGAGAGAAAGCCCTTGCATCTGTCATATGTTCTAATATGTTCTAACAAGAACTAAAACCTACAAATTCTAAAGCAACTAATAAATATGCACACACACAAATACACCCACACATACACTTACACACACACACAAACCACATCTTTGTAAACAATAGAACAAAAAGCTTCAAGGCTTAACTACAAATATGAATAAGACGAGAAAACGTTTTTGGAAAATGAAATGGAATTTCGCAACAACAAAAAAGTACTTTGTAATTGCATTTAACATAAGTAAATTGAAAATAATATATAAATCTATGTAAGAGCAAACAATTAATTACAATTTTTGCTAAACATAGACCTAAAAACAAAACTACAACAAAATAAAAACAAAAACAATTTAGCTAAGTGTGTAAAAATCTAAGCTGAATTATTATACAAAACGAAAACAAAAAAAACTTGCATTAAATAAAAAAGGAAACTATTTAATAAGCATTAATACAAATAACTCTAAAAAAAATTGAGGCTACAAAATTTGTTAAAAGGAGAAAATAACTAAAGTAAAGTAAAAGTATAAAACGAAGTCTATTTAAGCAATTATTTACAAAGTACACTGAGAGAATATGTAAATAGCGTAACAAACAAAATTTTAAGTGTAATTTAAAAGAAACCCTAAAAACTAAAGAAGAAAAATTAAAAACAATAATGAAAATGCGTAGGTGTAAATGGGAAAGTTTGCCACAAAATTAGTTGAATACATGCGCAGCCTATATGTATGTATATCTGATAAATAACAACAAAAATTTAATAACTAAATGTGTGCAAAAATTGAAACTTAACTGTTAATTGTTGCTCAAAATCAAAAACAAACAAATCAAACAAACAAAACCAAAATACCAAATCAAACATTTGAACGCATTCAGCGTTTTATTCATCAAACAATGTTGAATTCTGAACTAACAAAGCAGTCAAAATAATATTAAATTTAAATAATAAACAAACCGCTAAATTGTGTCACCTGTTTAGTATATCAGTATTTGTAACTGAAACAAAAACAAAACAAACCAAAAAACTCTTGAAAATGCGACGAATCAACTTGAACAAACATGAAAAACAATGGAAAAATAAACGGAATTTTTAAATGGAAATACGATTTGTTTTCTCTTTACTGGGATATATGGGTATATATCAGCATATTATTAATTTGCTTAGATTAGATCTCGACTTCGAGCCACACTTGAGGCGGATTAGCTCTAAATTTCAAATTCAAATTCGGCGCCATATTTCGGTGCTGCCACATCAGCTCATGTTTAACAGAGAACCAGTAAGTTAACAGTTTTGCTCCACATGGAACCAATTCAAAATTCATTAACTGTTTGCGCGCGTATTCAAAATCGATATTTGAAAATCTGCTTTTATTAGCAAGTAAAACTGAAATATTAGAGATGAGCAAAAGTACTAATAACATGAACTGCACTCGTACTTTAACATAGTTATCAGTGCGAAGCGGCAACGAGGGCTGTTAATAACAGCTTGTCTGGATGGCCATTATCACAACACTGCAGATTGACAAGATAGCGTAAAATGTTTGTTTAACATAGGAGAGAACCAGATGAGCAACGGTCACGGCCTTTTTTAGTTCACACAGGTTTAGTGTATCGTTCGTTCGATCGAACTTATTCGGAGCTATTCGGAACGAGTCGACACAACGCTAACAAATAGCCTGTTGCGCAGAAAATGGGGGAAACGCAACACAAATTAATTAGCAATTAACGTGCAGTAAATAAACTGCAATACGCGAGCTAAACAAAAGCATTCGGAAAACGTATAGGAAAAATTCAAACAAACTAAATAAACAAACACGATTCGAGTAACGACAACGCGCAGTCACTAGCCGCAGCAAAACGAAACAGAAAAACAGAAGCAAAACAGCAGTAAAACAAGCAGCAAGTCGCGGACGGCTCAACATAAAAAAATATTTATAAATATATAAAATAGAAATATCAATATAAAATAGAGTTTATTTTTATGTTTTTACCTAACTGTCGCGTGATCGTATATGTGCGTTCGCCTGTGTGTGTGCGTGTGAGTTAGTGTAAAAATATTTAAAAACAAAATCTTCTGCGCAGGCAGACAGAAGCACAGGGCTGGACGCAAGGGGCGAAACAATCAAAAACCAGCGACAGCAGCAGCAGCAGCAGCAACAGACAGATAAACAACAACAGCTACAATAATAATAACAACAACAGCAGCTGTAGCTGTAGCTGTGCTCGGTGACGCGGCGCGAGGTGCTCGTCGAGGTCAGTTCAGCACATTTCGCGCACGGCCGTTTTGTGCGTTCGATCGCACCCCCCTGTCGTCCCTCACTCCGCTCCTGGACCGTCCGGCGGCCACCCGCAATTCTAGCAACAACAATAAAGCATCAGCAAACACCGAAAACAGTTAACAGACTCACGCGCAACTCGTTTTAGTTTTATTGTTTAACTGATAACCCGAACGGGCTGATAAATATCAAAGCGACAAAAACGAGAACGACAACAACAACAACAAAAGCAACAACAAAAGGCTGTGACAAATTATTGCAATTGTCCAAGCGCCAAAAGCTAAGTGCGAATGCGAATGCGCCCTCAATTTGTATGCGGCACACACACGCACACACATAACCGTCCACTCAGTTATTGCCGAACACCCGCTGACGTCAGTCGGGTGGATCGTTATCGTTATCCGAGTATGGTGATGCCGGGGCCAGAGGGGCCCAGCGCGGGCACCATTGCCACAGCCGGGTTCAATCGCACGCCCCTGACGGAGCTGAGCTCCGAGACGCGCCGCCAGCTGGCATGCATGCTCAATCGCAAGAAGGTGCTGCGCTCCGAGGAGGGCTACGAACGGGACTGGCGTGGCATTGCCTCGCTGTCGGGCCAGCGTGGCTATGTGGACGAGTTTGCCAACATGCCCATGGACCTGGTGCTCAACAGCTGGATCAAGCATAATCCGCAAACGGCTGAGGTGGGGCATCTTGAGGAATACCTGGGCATCATCGATCGCTGGGATGTGCGCGATGATATACAGGAGAATCTAAGTAAGCAGAGAGGGAAAGTGTGTGAGAAAGAGAGATAGTAAATCTATTTCCTTTTCCATCTTTGCAGTCAAGGACACAAATCGTTATAATACAAAGCAACAGCAGCTAGAACAGCTGGAGCAGTTGACGCCCACGCCCACTGTTCAGTGTGTGGAGCGTAACAACAATAGTCTGGCACGCGATGTCAACTTGCTGAGCATCGATGATGAGAAATGCCTGCAAAACGGACAGCCGCTGCCCCGCTACAATGCCTGTGTGCTGTACGCCGAGGCGGACATCGAGCATGCAACAGACATTATGAACAACCTAGAGTCTCCGCCCTACAATCTCAAGGCAAGCGAATCTATATATACATATATAGACATCATATACTAGACTATATCTAATCTATTATTGTATTGTAGCTCTTCTTGAGGCATCGGGATCTGCTGCTGGGCGTGCCCTTCGAGCATGTCGAGCTGTCACAGTTCATGGCCACGCGCTGCAACCATCTGATCGTTGTGCTCACCGAGGAATTTCTCAAGAGTCGCGAGAACACGTATCTGGTGAACTTTACGCAAAAGCTGCAAATCGGTAAGCACCTCTTAGATAATCAGTTAACTCAAGTGCTAAGTGAATACATTCTAGAGAACAACACACGCAAGATAATACCCATATTGTACAAACACAACATGACTATACCCCAGACGCTGGCTATTTATACGCACGTTAACTATACGGAGACGTCGAGCTTGTTCAACTTCTGGGATAAGCTGGCGCGTTCGCTGCAAGATGTGGATGCGGCGTCCATATACAGTGCCAATCAGCAACTACTTACGTAAGCACAGCTCGATCTTAGTAATATCTCAATCTGATACTAATGAAATAAATCTCGTCTTAATCTGAATACAGACCGCCGGTAACGGAAGCTCTGCCTCAGCCGGAAACGCCGCGCATCTTAATCAACGATGCGGACGTAACAGATCTATCCGACTGGAATTTAAACGATACAAAGCTCAAATCCATGTCGGGCAATACAACGGCGCCATTGCCCGAACTGAAGATCAAACGCAAAGATAAAATTTTGCAAAAACTAACGCTGAACTTCGGCAGCCCCGGCAAACCGCTGCGGCATGCGCAGTCCGTTAGTGCCATCCATATGCAGGAACAGGAGAGCACACTGAACGCTAGCAACTCTAATCTGTCAACCTATTCGGAGAACAAGAAGCGCTCCAACAAATGGAGCAGCAAGCTGCTGAAGAAGTTTACGCGCAGCAGCACGAAGCTGCAAACGCCTTGCTGAGAGCGGGAGAGAGAGGCAAAGGCGGGGATGCTGTGCAACATGTGAATTTCCTTAAGTTGCGCCCAGTTTGTGGGCCATCATCAATCAATCAATCAGTCAAACAAACACAAACCATCCTTCATTTGATAGTGATTATATACTTAGCCCTTAAAGTCTAAAACCTAAAACCTAATCAAGCCAATTAACTTAATGTATTTAGACGCACTTGTTAAACTATGTAAGTCAAACAACGAATAAAGACAATATATATACATATACACACACACACACAAGCAGACACACCACAACTCCTAAACACAGATGTAAATTTATAAAAAAGAAAAGCTAAAGCATATGTATACCAAAACAGTAAACAATAACAAAAGTAAATGTATTGGCAAATTGTAAGGTTAATCGAGGCACGCACACACACACATACACACTCGCACACAATTAGCTATTAGTCACGCGTCTGATAAGTGACTTACTTAATTCAATTAACGAACAGAATGTATACATATAGATAGTTAGAGAGAGAGAGCGAAAGAGAGATACACCCTATATAATGTAGCCCTAACAAATATCAATTGGACGTCTGTCAGGCAAGAAACCGAAACAGACTAAGCAAATGCTGAATAACATTAGATATCTATATATGTGTGTATGTGTGTAATTGTTGAATAATGTTTATATGTACCATATAACAGCTGAATATGTATGTGTGTGTGTGTGTGTGTCTCTTTCTGTGAACGATAAAGCTTTCGTCACATTTTTGTTTAAGTAATTGTCGCAAAGTGCAGCTCGAGCAACGTTTTATGCCACACACAGTTAAAATATTTATATATATATATATATATATATATATATATGTATATGTACATATGTATATACTTGCTTAAGTCACGCGGTTCTAATATAACTGTCAAGTGTTGTACGATCATATGCATACATATGAATATATATATGTAATTCAAAAGTCGCGTGCTTTGTACTTAAAAGTATCTTGAATGAGCTCGAAATGTGCCAATAAAATTTAAATATAAACATATGTACGGTATAACACACACATATATATATACTATATATAGCTGTATAGTTAAAAGTCAAGTTTTTATGGTTTTTTTCCTGTTAAAACAAAGTTTGTTGTTTCTCTGTGTGCAATAATTAAGTTTATAAATTGTTGTTTTCTCAAATGTGAATACCCTGAGCTCGTTTCCGTTCTTGCTCAAGAATAAATTTGACTCAAATTTGTTTAAATTTTTTTTTGGTTTTTTATTTTTCATTTTATTGTTTAAATCGCTTCATAAATAACCTTTTTTTTTTGTTTTTTTTTTTCATGTTCTTGTAATCGAATTTTGTCAGTTTTTTTTTTTTATTTTTTTTTATTTTATTTTTTGTGAATGTTTATTTTTAGTCCAATTTGTTATGAATGTTTATGTTGTTTTGTTTTGTTTTTAGTATTTGTTATTTAGAGTTTTGCATGTTTTTTCCTTTTAAATGTTTTATGCATGCAGTACGTGTGTGTGTTTTATAATTATAATAACTTTTTTACTCCTTTTTCCTTAATTTGTGTTTATGTTTGCTTTACATTTACGTTTTGAACAAATGTTTTTTGTTGTTTGTTTGTTCTGCATATTAAACTTTGTTTTTGTTTTTTAATTGAATTGTTTTTTTCTTGTTATTTTTTACTTTACTCTGCTTCTTCATTTTGTGTATATGTATATTTTATTTTATTTGTGTTTTTTTTTTCGTTTATTAATTTATTTTTATTCGCATTTTTAACAAAATTAATAAAAACAATTTCCATTTTTTTGTCACTTACTTTTTGTTTAGTGTTTTTTTTTTCTTGTTTTTATTTATTTATTTTTTTTTTAATTTTTTTTGTTTTGTATATATGTTAATTGATCAATTTATTCGTAATTTGTAATATTAAAACAATGTAACGTATAATCTTTTATTTTTTTGGTTTCTTTTTTTTTTTTTTTTGTGCCTTGGCCACGTTTTTCCACAACTCTTTTTCGATTTTCCCTTCTGCTTTAGTGTTTATATATATATTTCCTCGCTTTTGTTTTTTGGGGTTTTCCTCTTATATGATTTGTTATCTTATAAATCTAACTGATTGCATTTATACAGAGTGTGTTACGTGTTAAAGTTAAGTCGGATTTACGTTTCTTTTCTTCACTTATGGATTGGCTAAAAGATAAGTCGAGGATTGTGTGAGTGTGTGTGTGTGTGTTAAACTACAACAAAACTTTCAGATATATCTATCTTAAGATATAGTACCTTCTATAAAAAAGAAATCGTTCAAATGAGAAGTTTCGGTTTTAAGCGCAATTCTTTATAGTTAAGTGTTAACAATGTATTTGGTTTTCTTCTTGTTTATGATTATGGAAGTCAGTTTATATGAAGAAGTCGGTATTTTCAGTATTTTTTTTTTTTTTGGTATGGAAAGTTCTTTGAAGTTTGTTTTTTCATTTAATGCGAGAGATTTTCTTAATATAAATGTAATGCAAATGTTATTTTTGTTTTTTGAGTATGTATAGTTTTTTTTTATTTTAATTTGTTTATATGTATATTTATACTTCTTCTTCTGCTAGCGCTCATCTGTTTAATCATCATCTTATATCATATATCATTCTTTGCACGTTTTTCATCTTCTTCTTTTTCTTGTTGACTTACTAATAAATTAAAACAACGCTAATGAATTCGTTTCTTTCTTGTTTTCTTTACTAATTGTGAATGGTTTTATATTTGTTTTTGTTTTGTTTGTTTTATTTCTCTGCTAACTTTCTTTGTTGTTGTATTTATTATCAATTTTTTGTAATCAATTATCAATTCGATTTGATGCACACACACTTCTGTTCTGTTCTTTTCTGTTCTGGTCGTGTGTTTATCTATATAGAGCAGAGAGCGACTATATGTGTGCCAAATGTAGTGCCGTAGTCAGGGCATAATTCATCACAATCAGACGACGAGCGTTACGCGATAGCTGATTAGCTATGACAGCTTAACGGAATTACTCTAGCTATAGCACGGGGCTATAGTTGATTGAAAATGTTTTTATTTTTATTTATTTATTTATTTATTTTTTTTAATGTGTGTTTGGTTTAGCACAGATATTATGAACGCTTATCGGAGCACCTAATATATATGTACACTCATACATATATACTAAGCTCTCCAGCTGTACGTGTTTTCATAATTTCTGCTTTGAACACTCTAACAAAACTTCAGGAACAATGTGAATGATGATCCAAATGAATTGAGGGGCAAATTCTCATTATTGTTTAACAATTGTTTTCGATTCTTCTTCTTAATGTTGTTGTTGTTGTTGGCAGTGTTTCATTTGTATGTAATATGTTATGCTTCATTTAGACATACCTTCGTAAACTCTAATCACACGCTGATATTTAAAAAGAGCAACATAAAAGGTAGGTGTAGGTGTGTGTATGTGTGTGTGTGAGTGTGAATGTGTGTGTTCATTGCTATATAAAATGTTTTTCTTTTTTTTTTTTTTTGTGGGTGATTTCTTAACTTGTTTCATCTCTTTCTTATTTAGTTGCTACAATGTTTAGTTTAACTACAGTTAATTACGTCATCATCATTTAGCCTGATGATCATTTCATGCATATTCGTTACATTTTCAGTTGCAATTTTCATATTCATTTTCCAGTTTTCATATATAGACCTAAGTGTGTTTAATGCCAAATGTTTTTTTTTTTTTGTGTTTTTCTTTTGGCTGGTTGTGCGCGATTTTCATTTAACGTTTTACAACACTACAAATAACGGCAGTTTTGAAATGCTGATTCGAGAGGGAAAGTTTAATCTTATTTATCATTTATCTCATTCACTTTCTTCACTTATAATAGCCTAATAGATGAATAGAAACAACATATATGGAAGCCATGGAAAGCAACTGCAATTAAATATCGGGCTCATTTCTATAGGAATATACCAATGTGCTCTATAAGGAATACAACTGAGGAACTACACAAAGTATACACAGACACATATACATATACATATATATATATATATATATACGTATATAGAGTGGTATATATAGTGATATATATACATACATTGGCATATAGTTTGACACGCTAAGAGCTGATTGTAGTTGGCCTTTGTTAGAGATTTATATAGATATACCTCTGTATATATATATATATATATATATATAGTTAAGACAGAAAACTCTCTAGAACGACACAGATAAGATATGTTGCGGATAAAAGAGAATATTTATAAACAGAATGTTATAATAGTATAGACTAAAATTATTTATAACATTCTACTTTTTCTTTTTATTGCATTGTATTCATCATGAAAGTTTTTAACATAAATTGCAAAGACAATCATTGTCTATAAATAAACTTGATAGATGTCAATTTAAATAAATAAATAATTAACTTGTGCTATATTTTTAACTAGAAGTTTAAAACTTGAACTGAGATAAAAAGTTATGTTTTTTGCCGTTCGTCTATAGAGCTTTCACTGTACCCACAAGCCATTGTTTCATTGTTTAGCAATTGGTAAAAATTAGTTTGTATTTTAGGGGACATTTCTTGTTCTTTTTACAACTAAATAAGGCATGCGCTAGGCTGTTTGGCACACAAATCAATCGATAACAACAATAATTATAATAATCATAATGGCAATGTTCATGTCAATGATAATGATACAAAATAAATAACAGAAATACGTTTTTAGTATATATAGATATATATATATATATACATATACATATATGTGCTTTATATCGCTTATCGCTTATCGCTTACAACTTTTTTGGGAGTTGTTTCCCGGCCAAAATGACAAATTCGCTAAATGCTACGAAAAAACATTTTCGTTCCTATTGGCTGCTGGAATTTGTGATCCTTAATCTCATTTTTGTTTCATATATATCCTTTATGTTAATGTTGTTTGTGTGTTGCTTGGATTTGTTATTCACTTTGTTGCTTACTTCACTATTGTACAATGTGCTGTTGCCTTTTTCTTTTACTCTTAACTTTCTCTTTTTCATAATTCATATTAAGTTTTCTTTTATATGAGTGTGAAAGTGTGTGGGTTGTGGGTTGCGGGGGGCGTGGCGCGTGTCCTGTCTAAAATGCGCTTATTATTGATACCATTCATTTTTTCATGTTGCCATTTGCAATTTAATGTTAATTTATGTAAGTTTTTTGGTTTTGGTTTTGGTTTTGTTCTTTTGTTGCTTTTAAATTCTATCCTCTTCGTCCTCCTCCTCGACCTCCTCGCCGTTCTCCTCGAGCTCCTCCTTGTAGCCAGGGTGCTCGGATATGGCATAGTAGTTGCCATTGTAGATGACGCCCAGTTCGCGCAGCGCATCGCCGCGTATTGTCGCCTTTATCGTCCAGTTGTAGCAATCATCTGATTCCGATTCACGATCCAAACGCTCCACGTCGAGTATCTTGGAGTTGAGGCGCTCCAGTATGATGCCGATGTCCTTGATGCTAAGATGTCGCTTCTGGTCAACAGACAGCTGATCGATCAACAGCAGGAATTTCTCTGTCGTCGTCTTATCATCCTCCATCACCGTGTTCTCCGTCTCACTCTCCGAACTGTCGCGTTCGGGTGCAATATCCAGGAATCGTACATGACCCTTGGCCCCCGACGAGCGCCGCTGCATGCTGCCGCTACCGCCTAGCATAGGATCCATAACCGATGACGACATCGCCAGCGTCGCCTGATGCCCCGCCTGCAGCTGCGGCTGCGGACTGCTGCTGCCATCCTGTATGGGCGACGTGGCCACGCTCTTGTGCACGGCTATCTTTCGTCCCTCCTCGTGCAGTGCACAGCAGTGGAAATCACATTCCGTGGTGCTCGGGCTGCCCGCCCGGCTGGGCGTATGGGCATGATGTGCACACTCTGGCGTGTGCACATGGACAGCGCCGACGGCACTATCGAAGGAGCCGCCCTGCTTGGATAGCCGACGACTGCTGCCGCTGCCAGGTATCACAACGCCTGGCGGCAGGACAACGCCACCCGGATGGTAAATGCTAGCCGGTCCCTCGTCGCTGATCACCGTTATTTGTGGGCTGGCATAGCGTTGCTGTGAGGATTGTGATGACACGGACTTGTTGTCCAGCGAACTTTGCGCAGAGAGGCCCTTCTTCGAGGGCGAGTATTTGTCGGACGACAGCAACCCGTTGCTGCTGCCCAGGCCGGCGCCCATGCACATGCCTCCACCACCACCTCCTCCGCCGCCACCACCTCCACCTCCACCTCCTCCACCACCCTGGCGCTGATCCCAGTGCAGTACGACCGTGACACGCCCTTTATTATCCATAATCTTCCAAGATGGCGTCTCATCGTGCAGTTCCAGTGCATGAATCGTCTCACAGACGATTTTTGGTATAGCTGATATAGCTAAAAGTTTATGGAATATGGAGAAATATGTTAATACTTTATATACATTATATAGAGGATGTTCACTTACCAGCCTTTATAACATCCACGCCAGTTGGATACCATCGTTCGCCCTGCCTCAACAGCAAGAGTACCGTATTGTTGGCCAGGGTGCGAAAGTATTCGCCATCCTCAATTTGGGTTCCATCACACTCCAGAACAACGCGCACGGGTTCTGAGGCAGGAACCCCCAATTTATCCTTCCCACGCACCAATAGCTCCTCGAATGTACCAACTACGACGCCTTTGCGCACATTTCGCCAACTATCCCAAATCTTTAGTGGTCGCTTGCTGCGAGACTCCTGCAAAATACAGTGGATGGAAGGTTAGAAATCAGTGTTGGTAAATGCAATATGATAACAATTTATGGAGCTCATGTAAAGCAGTTTTGGGTTTATGAGTTAGTGTTGGTGAATGGAAATTAGGTAAGAGAGAGCTACTATTAATTCCAACTGCATATTATATATGTAGAGCGCTTATTTGTATATGAAAACATTAACAATAAGACAGTTTCTGTGTGTAAACAGCTCAACCACTCGGGTAAATGATTCATATGTCTCTTACTAAAATTAAGTAATTGAAATAGTTTGTTTTTTCTTTGAAAAAGATTCATTGATAAGTAATGCGTGACCTAGGCCAACAATTCGCATAAAGGACAGGCAAAGTCAATAAATCTTCATTTGCCCAAGCGCTATCTCAACTTGAGTTGTCAAAACTAAACAAACCAAAACGACACAAATTAATCAAATTCAATCACATCGCGGAATTGTGATAAATTAGCGAAAGATCCATAAAGAAAATATGGGCTTGCCTTAATGAACGCCATAAAACATAAATATATATAAATTTTAATCAAGAAAAGTAGATCAAAGGCTAGTAGTCGCACCTCAATTTTCAATATGGACAAATTTTACTGTCATAAAATACATCGTTTAGATAACATTTGAAATATTATACATTGATATGTATATGTATGTATAGGGATATTCACACACACACACGTATGTTTGTTGTTTTTTGGGCGTGGGTGTGACACCTGTGTGTGTATGTGTGTGGGTGCGTGTGTGACAAGTGGGTGTGGCAGGCCCGAGCAGCGTCATAAGTTACGCTACTAATTGAGGTTTGCAGTCGCTAAAAAAAGGGCGCTAATGTCAAGGCCGCTGCCAGCTACAGTTCAAACAGTAGCAGCAGCAGCTGCTGCAGCTGATCTGCACAGCATTAGGCCAAAAACACAAATACACACACACACACATGTACATGTATACATACATACACATATATATGCCCATATTTATATATCAGCAAAGGTAAACGTAGCAATTCACAATTAACATCAACAAATGAAATTTTGAGTTATTTCCATTGAGCATTAACAGCGAGCACAGCTGTTGTGCATTAACAGTGCACTGTTAGCTATAACAGAGCTTTCACTGAAAGCAAAATCAAATAAGAACAATAACAACAACAACGAGGAGAAGAAGCAGCAGCAGAAGGCATGTTTAATATATTGCAAGGACATGAGTATGGCGCTCCAGTGACCCAGTAACGAGTGCAGCACACGAGCTGAATAACAAGAAAAAAATGAAGAGACACAGAAATACACACATACACACACACATAGTCGATTCAACACATACACACGCATACATTTAAAAGCTGTAGCATGTAGCCAGCATAGTTAAAAAAAAAAACTATGAAAAATTACTTGAAATACTTTTTGACGTTTGCTTATTGGACATTTGCGCGAAAAGTTTGCTTTTGTCAAATTGGAGTTGGCAGTCGAGTTGGAATTGCAATTGCAATTGAAATTGCAGTTTGTAGGGAAACTGTAATCAGAGAGAGCGGGAGAGAGAGATAGAGTTGTATGTGTGCTGCATTGGGATAGGTCAAGTCTGCTGCCATATGGCCATCAGCTGCTGTTGCTGCTGCCACTATTGCAGAGGGGGCGCTTTGGGGGTGGGTTCTGTTGCTGATTGATGGATATGCTTTAAACGGTAATTAGTTATTATCTTTGGTTTACCCCTGCTGATGCTGCTGCTGCAGCATTTGTCGCCGCCGTCGGTCCCGTTGTAATGGCTGCACCAGCATTCTGATTGGCAGCCGCCGCCGCGGCTGCTGCTGCCGCCACTTGCCTGATGCTCAAACAGTTGCACAAAGGCTTTGTCACGCCCAGTGTGCACAGAGCATTGGACCACATGGTGGCGTTACAAATGCTCGCTTCACCTTTGCCAGCCACTTTAATGCTGATTCTGATTAGTCCTCTGTCCAATTGGATACAATCCGATTAAGTGACAACAATAACATTAACACAAATTAACATTTCTCTTTTCAGTTTTGGCTTTGGTTATGTTAAATATATAACTTTGGTTTTCCCTTTCCTTGCTTTCTTGTTGTTGTTGTTTAAAAATTGTTATATAAAATGCACATACACATTATTATTCTGTTTGTGTTTGATAGAAAATTATGTTTATAAAACTTTATAAATGCTTATAAGCTTATTTCTAAGTTGAACGCGTTTTATTGTAGTTGTTCTTTAAATGCCATTTAGGGAAAAATTCGTCGCGTAAGGCTACAAAATTTTTTTTTTTAACAAATTGCTGCGCACTTACAAAAAACAAAAACCAATATAAAAATTGTTATTTAGTTTGTAATAGAAAATACACTAAATTATGAATTATTGTTATATTCAATAAGAAATCGAGTTTTAGCTTTAGTTTTAGGTTTTTCTTTCTCTCCTTCTTTTCTTTTATGGGCCACAGTAGCAGCAGCTGGGCAGAACTGTCGAAGAGTTGAGTTGACCTTCGCACTTTCACTTTACTACACTTGCGTGAGCCTGAAACCGCCGACTTTTCATTTGGTGGGGGTCGTAGAAGGGGAGAGGCCAAAGGGGCTGAGGCTGAGCCTGAGGCTGGGGCCAGGTGCGCTGAGCCTTCGATTTGATTGCAGTTTTGTGGCACACTTTTTAGTTTTTCATTCTTTCGATTTAACACAAACTTTTTTTTTCGTTTCTTATTGGAATTATTATTTGAATATTAAAAACTTTCGTTTTATTCTTGCTGCTGCTGCGGCTGGTGGTAGTGCTACTGTTGCAGTTGTCACACCCAGTTAAAAATTTAATATTTCAACAATGTGCCAGCGGAATCGCGTTGCCTGTGTAAAGCGCTCGTTAACGAAAGTAGCATCATTGCTGGCTGTGGCTGGCTGCCTGGCACACACTGCTGAACCTGCCTGACTGCATGCATGCATGCCTCTTTGTTGGCTGACTCCTTGCCTCTGTTATTAACAGCAGCTGTTACTGTTAAGCTTCTACTGCTGCTGCAGCATGCAGTGAGAGAACGCGTAGGTTGTGCGCATAAATGGAGAATGAGAGTGCAAAGCTCGTGAGCGCATATAAATATATATATATATATACATGTGTGTACGCTCTGTTAATGCGTATTTTGTAGTAATTGTAATGTTAAAGCGGAAGCTGCTCAATTGCACTGTGCATTGCGTTGCACTGCTCGCTTGCGCTCTCTCTCTCTCTCTTTCTCTGTTTCCTACACACACTCTTGGTAGTAACATCTGTGCTTTGGCCTACATTCGCAATGTGATATAATCAGGGCGCGCTAAAGCTAACACAGCTAACAGCCAACAAAACGGGCGCGCACACACGAACGCTCCACAAGTATTCAGGATTCAGAGGCTCATAGCTAAACATACATAAATGCCAGAAGCTCTGTCAATTAGGCACAAACACACATACCCACATACAAACAGACGCACACACAAAGGTGCACAGTCAGATAGAGAGGGAGAGCGACCGAGTGAGCATGCTGAAAACTTGCACAAGGATTTGCAATTGGCTCGCTTTCATTTTCATTTGGTTCGCTCCGCTTTGCAGCAGTTGATTAAAGCAAAGCGGCGCAGTGGGTAAACATTTATTTTGAATCAATCCTTTGAATTAATCTGTTTTATTTATCAAACTTCAGCAAACAGTTCAAAATTAGAACTTTCCTAGTTTGCGCTAAAAAGTATGCTATAAAGGTATAAGAAAATAACAACTAAACCCACTTTTTTTGAGTAGTCTACAAAAAATCATGTCAATTACTGTTTTTTTTTTTTAATGCAATATAATGTTTTATTATGCAAATAAATACGTAAAACACCAATGTTGTTGCTCTTCCGAGAGCAATGGCATTGCAATTCTTTATGCAGTAGCAGTTCTCTCTCTCTCTCCCTCACACAGTCTCTTTTATACTTCCAGCACAGCATTGCCAGCTGTAAGAAAAGCTCACATTTATATTTTACCCCTAAATGTTAACAGCTGCGTGTTTTTTAAATGAATGGAGCAAAGGAGGCACTACTTACTAAATGCAAGATATCAATTAATTGGCAAATGTATACATAAATATAGAAACGTCTTAAATGAACAACTCGACGGCTACCCATGCAGATCATATTTATATTATAAAGCGCTGTATTTAACATATAGGTCATGCCCACAACGCTGCAGAATACTGTGAATTTGGCCACTAAAAATGCAACATCACTAAACAAATAGATCAAATTGAGCATAAGTATCAACAATAACAATATATGTAACGTAAACGTAAAAACTATGTACATTAACAAAAGCTACATGTGCTCATCTAGTAGGGTGTATTACAGTTATTTGGGTCAAAGCTATTCACTCAGCCGCAAAGCAAAGCAATACGAAACGAGATGAAGAAACTGCATAAAGCATGCATACACACACATACACACAACCGCACATTGATATACACGCACACACACACACATACATACATACACATAAAATGCTTAACGGGGGCTTAGCCCCAAAGCTAACGCAACTCAGCGACTAAGTTGAAAACAAATGAGCGGAGAGTAGACAGGCCGGAATTGGGAAACAACTGTAAATCGACACGATTGGTTCGTAGTGGAGAGAAATGTTACTGTTACAGTCCAGTGTTATGTTAGAAGTAATGGAAACAACAGTGTGTATGTATGAATGTATGTACGCGTGTATAATATTTTAATTCAAAAGCAATGCATAACTATGTATGTGGGCCGGCATCTACCCACATTTGGCATTTCGCATTTCGCTTAGCCCGCAAGAAATCTCACTTACCTCTCTGGCCATTACGACATGTCTCAAAAGCAGGGCCCGCTCAGAGGGTCTGCCATTTGCGTTGGGTTCAACAGCAGCAGCAACAACACGTCCTCTGCTGCGCCGTTGTCGACGTGGTCGTGGTCGTTGGCGTTGTCGTCGCCGTCGCCGTCGCGTCTGTCGTCCTTTGGCGGCAGCGGCTGCGGCAGTAGCAGCGGCTAACAGGAACAGCAGCAACAACACCAGCAACTGTGCACGGCTTACACTTCTTTTCGCGCATACGAGTCTCTGTGTTTGTATGTATGTCTTCGTGTGCGTGAGTGTTTGTCTGTATGTATGTTCGCTGGGGAGAACGGCGGCAGTGGGCGGTTAGTTGGTTGACTGTGTATGTGTGTGTGTGGAGTGTGCTTCAAAAATTCTCTACTACACGTTTATTTTCAATCTTCCCGCAACGCGCCGATGCTGTGTGCTGCTGCTGCTGCTTCTTCCTTTTGACGTTCCTTTTTGGCACCGTGCTTTCTCTCTCTCTCTCTCGCTCTCACTCTAGCTCTCTATGCCTTTTTTGTGGTGTGTGTGTATGTAGGTGTGAGAGTACATACGTACATATGTTGGTTGGCTGGTTGGTTGATTCTGCGTGTGTATTGATATTTGCCTTTTACAAATTGATTATTTATTTAAACAATTCTTTATTTAATTATCGCTTGAAATGCTGCCAATCATTACATGTATTTTATTTGATTTCATTTGCTGCCTACGTACACCTCTATAAACACCCACTATAATATATACACACACACACTATCTCAATATATGTATGTACGTAGGTGCGGCTGCGATGTCGGCGAAGATTTGCTGTTGGCAGTGTTTGTGTGCGTGTGTGTGTACCGTTATCATTTTTATTCACATTAAACACACATTTTTGAATTCGATTTGCGATTAATTTTCTGTTTGCTTAATATTTATTGAGCGGCAATCGGATCAAAAACAAAATTGGGCATATGAGCCAAAATCTTAAAGGCGCACACGCACACATATGTACATACAGGAGGACACGCTTAATCTCTTGCTTTGCTTCTATTTTCTAGTATTGGTAGAACCCACGCCTTTCGGTTCGCCACTTTTCACTTCTTTCACAAGAGCTGAATATTCGCGGTTTCTTTGATAGTTTTCAAATGGATGCGAGTATTAATATTTGTTGCTCAAAAACTAAACTAATATAGTTTAATTACAAAACAAACACATTTTAACAGTCAAAAGCACAGAGCAAACACGCAAATCAATGCTCCACAGAGGTCCAGTGCTAAAAACGGTAAATCGCGTCGTTGTTGAGCACTGAGTAATGCAACTTAAGAACACTCAAAATATATCGAGCAACTTTCACTTTACTTAACAGAAATACTGAACAATTAACATAAATACCAAATGGCTGGAAGTGCACCTTGTTTGAAATTGATTTGTAAAACTATCAGCGATATCATTATACATATATATGCAGTTACAAAAAAAATGTGATGCAAGAATTAAAGGATTTCATTGAAATAATTTTCAAACAATAATCAAATAATAAAACCAATTTCAGTCATTCATAGTTGCTATCGCTAAATTTTCGATAACATGCTATAAAGTCGATATATTAAGTTTATTTATTCATCCCTGGACAGCAGCCAAGAACTTGCTTAAATTTTTACGCAAAATTACGTGTCTCCTTTGACAATTAGCAATATGGTTGATAATCTACCACCCCTGGAGCCCAGTCTACAAAACTTGGTTGAGCAAGAATCTCTGAAATGGATATTTGTAGGCGGTAAAGGCGGCGTGGGGAAAACTACTTGCAGGTGAGTGACAGCGACATTCACTAATGGCAACAACAACAATTTTAATGCTCTGCAAATCTAATTAAACCATTCGTAGCTCCAGCTTGGCCGTGCAATTGTCAAAAGTACGCGAATCTGTGTTAATTATCTCCACAGATCCGGCTCACAACATATCCGATGCATTCGATCAAAAGTTTACCAAGGTGCCGACCAAGGTAAATGGATTTGACAATCTGTTTGCCATGGAAATCGATCCAAATGCTGGATTGGGCGAATTGCCCGACGAGTATTTCGAAGGTGAGAACGAGGCGTTGCGAGTCAGCAAGGGTGTAATGCAGGAGATGATCAACGCGCTTCCCGGCATTGATGAGGCAATGAGCTATGCTGAGGTCATGAAGCTGGTGAAGGGCATGAATTTCTCTGTGGTCGTCTTTGATACGGCGCCCACGGGTCACACACTGCGACTCATCGCATTCCCACAAGTCGTGGAGAAAGGTTTGGGCAAACTGCTGCGCCTTAAGATGAAGCTGGCACCACTACTCTCACAATTCGTCTCCATGCTGGGCATGGCCGATGTGAATGCGGACACGCTGTCACAAAAATTGGACGACATGCTACGTGTCATAACGCAAGTCAACGAACAATTCAAGAATCCGGTAAGGATTAGGTTAACTAACCTCATAGGAATATATCTAACGCTTTAACTTTCTGTGCTTAGGATCAAACGACTTTTGTTTGCGTTTGCATTGCCGAATTCTTTTCTCTCTACGAAACGGAGCGTCTGGTGCAGGAGCTAACCAAATGCGGCATCGATGTGCACAATATAATTGTGAATCAATTGTTATTTTTGGACAAATCACATAATAGTTGTAGCATGTGCGCATCACGTTTCAAGATCCAGGAAAAATACCTTGACCAGATTGCAGATTTATATGAGGACTTCCATGTTACGAAGCTGCCGTTGCTAGAGAAAGAGGTTCGCGGACCGGAAAGCATTAAATCGTTTTCAGAGAACCTTATGATACCCTACAAGCCGAAGGAGTAGCCAATGCTGCTTTTTGATGTTCTAGTTGTAAGCATTTTGATGAACTTATTGTATAAATGTGGTTGCGAGATATAAAATAAACCCAATTATGCTCTGGTTTATTGTAAGTTTTGAAGAGGGCGCCGGTATACTATAAATGTGTCGATAAATTGATTAAAAAACAAAACCTCAACGGGGTAACATTGTAGTCGATGTGAGTAATTAAAAAATCAGTGATCAATCTAAGTGCTTAAATCCAATGCTGTCGTCATTTCTATAATAAAATGCTCTGCAATTAAAAGTATCTATATTGATAATTAATTAAACTACACTGTGGTTGTAAATTATTTGAAAATTCCGCTTAATTATTATATACATTCCAGTAGTGTAACACTGTATTAGCTATCGATAGGCATTTATTTGAATCTTGTTATCGCTGTCTTTAGTCATCACTAAGTTTTATTTTGCGTCGTTTTTGGTGCACACAGCGCTTTCGTATTTTTGTTTTCCTCGTGTTGTTTTTTAATTGTCCTTGATAAATGTAACGCTGCCACTTATTTCCACACATTCAGTACGTTGGCTTATTAAATATTTATAGCACTAGCCTACTACTCCTGCTACTGCTGCACACGCGCATAGATACCTTCAAGTATTTCTCAAGGATTTCTAGGACAACAACAACGAAGACTAACAGGTGAGTGAGTGAGTTAACTGTTAATTGAGCGCCAAAGTTGTACTAGGTTTGTCTGTCTGTGTGTGAGTGTTTCTATGACTGTGTGAGTATATGTGTATATTTCATTGCTTGCGTCTTGCAATCAATAATACAACAAAAGCCACCCCTTTCCCCATCCTCCCGCTGACTCCATCTCCCTCTTTCCCATGATGTGTAATAATAATAACTACAACAGAACCAAGTGCCATATACGATAAAGTTGTACCACATACATACATATGTGTAAACGCTGATTGTTGTGGTTGTTATTGTTGTTGGTGTTGTCAACTGCCGCGTCGTTTCCGCATTTCCCTTTATATGCACTATGAGCACATCCGCTCGCCACATTTGTCCTTCAGTCAGCGGTAGTTGGACGTAGGCGCAGCCCGCCTTCCTTGCCTTGTTGGCCATATCATTGCATATCGCGTGACCTTTAGCCATTTCAAATATGCATACATACTATACAGATATATATATGTCCATAGTATGTCTGTATGTATATATACCTTAGAGTCTAGGGTGCTTACTTAATTAAATTGGTCGAATGGTCGAGCGAGTCTGAGCCCCATTTTGGGCTGGCAGCTCCATTTATGGCCAGCAGCACGTATGCAGCAAAAGCCGTTAGAATAAGCTAATGGAAAAGCGAAAGAAAAAATTGAATTTCAGTCACAATTCGCTGTAGCTGTAAACGTCTAGAGCTCCAAAACATTATCTTTGTGACAGCCCTTTATCATTAAAGATAGGCGTGTCCAATATTTGGTATGCCAGTGGAAATTACTCATGTTTATATTTATATATAAAATCTTTATCAATCTTTAACGCTTGCATTTGGATGGTAAAATAAAGAAAAAATTAAAAAAAGAGCTGCCCAAAAATGTCTGTGGCAGGCTTCAGACAGAGCCTCTTGCTCTGGAGTGTTGACTACTGGAATCTGGAAGGTAATTTATGGAGAGTTAACATTGCGTCTTTGGTTTGATTTTCATTTTGTTATTAAGTTTCACTTTTCTGCTCCACACATTTACAATTCAAATAAGATAATGCCTCTATTGCAGCTGTTATGGCGGACAATGTGTTCAAGTCGCACGATATTGGGTTACGCGCTCAAAAGAAAATACTCTCACGCATGGCAACAAAAAATATAGCGAAGACCTTTATTGACGGCACAACGGCTTCATTGTTGGATAATCTCTATAAGCTTTGCAAGCTACATACGGGCAATAAAGCGCGCGCCGAGAAGCTTGTTAAAAACATAATCAAAATAGTTATTAAAATTGGTGTCCTGCATCGAAATAATCAATTTAATCAGGAGGAGCTGCAAAATGCCGAGAACTTTAAGCGAAAATTTCAAGTAAAGTGGAAATAGATATTAAGTTTGATATGTATACTAATCTGTATAGTTTCTTTCTAGAACACACAACTGTCCATAATATCGTTCTATGAGGTGGACTTCACCTTCGATTTGTCATATTTACAAAAGTCGATAAAGGAGTCCCAAATGGCGCTTAAGTCCATAGTTCAGTTACATTTAACAGACAAATCCATTGGCCGCATTGATGAGGTATTTGATTTCTTTACCGACGCGGCTCTATTGGAACTGGCATTCAAAACGGATTCACCATATCGTGAGGTAATGGGCAAAATTGTAGCAGATATTAACACAGCCATGGAAACGGGTGATATTTGAGTTGGATGTGCAGAAGTCGGGCTGCATTTGCTTTAGAAAGAAGGGGCTATTATCAAACCAAAAAGAAAAGGAAACAACAACCAGATACTAATAGTTAATTTAAAAGAGCCTTCTAAGTCCACCAAATAGCAAGTAAAACACACAAGAAAAAAGACAAACACGCATCGAAAAGCAAACAACAACAAACAACTTTTTTTAAATTGAATTGGTGTGATATTCACAATTTAAACAATTAACATTATTTAAGTAGCTATCGAAAACTAGAAGAAAAAAACGTCCAGATTGATTTATTTTAAGTCAATGTTAAAACAATTTGTTTAGATTTAAGTAGAAATGCATTTTGCCAAAGGAATTCACAAGCAAACAAACAAAAGAAAAAACTCAGAAATGTAAGCGCATCAAAATGCTTTTTATCGTCAATGTATTTGTCGTTGATTGTATTTGTAATTTGTAATACGTATATCTAAGTCGTATGTGAAAGTCTGTCTAAATATTGCATATGTGTAGTTAGATATTTGATACTTTTGTGTTTATTCGTCTGTTTTGATATACTCCAAAACTCGCCTTTTGAAATGCAATTATATACTCGCTATCTGAGAATTTATCACAGACATATATGAACATATATCCATGTACTTAAAATCGTTCCGAAATGACATTTAGTTTTGCTGATCTCCGCAACAACAAAAATTTAATTTTCCAAACCACACGCATAGTAAATTGTTAAAAAAAAAGGTCTATATGCCACTGTTTGATAGTACATTTTTTTACGTATATATTTATTTCTTATTATGTATTCCGACCTCAGAGCCACAGGCCCGAGGTTCAATAACCTTAAGCATTATTTATGATATTCCCAATTGTTTGAAATAGATATTTAGTATAAATACCCAGAACATATCATAAAATGGCTGGCAACAAAATATCAATATATATATACAGTGTTATATATATATGTTAGGTAAATGGGACAATAAACTGTTCGCTTAACAAGGAAGAAGGAAAAATATTGTCGCATATATTTTGGATATTAAAATTGATGGGATTAAATTTATAGTTATTTAGGTTTTTAAAACATCGTGTATTTATTTGTTTAGAAAACAAATCTTTTGTTGACTCCCAATAAAAAGCAACGATTATAATTATAAAACAACTCAACTAAAGATTTTAATTACATAAATATTTTACTCAGCTCGCTTTTGTTCCAGGATCTCGTCACCTGCTTTGCCCTCTTCCAGCTTTTGTTGCTTGAAGAGCTCGATGAGCTTCTCGGTAGCCGTTTGTGGTATGTCGAAGGGTTGTGATGCTTCCTTGCTGGGCAGGGTTTGATTGTTTGCGTCGGGTGAGCGTAGTAGAAAAGGTGTCCAGGGTCCTTGTATGGAGGGCACGTCCGTATGCCACATTTTACGTAGACGCATCGAACTGGAGCTACCATTTTGTGTCTTTAGCAGATCTATCCATTTGCTGATCTCGTCCTGTGTGCTGTTGCGACAGCTCAACCACTCGCGATCACCATTTACTAAGTGTATAAAATGCATATACCATAAATAAGTTTAATCTCCCATTGGGCAACCGCGACTACTTACAGTATTCACCCACCAACACAGGCGTGCGGTGACGGCGCGGCTTCACATAGACCACAATGCCGGGATTCTCCTTCGCAAAGTCCACCAAATGGTTTTCAATGAAATCCCTTATCAAGAAATTCACAGTTAGCTGTAGTATATACAAATCTATATGTTTATTTACGCTTACCGCATGCCACGGCTGGAGCCGTTGTTCTTGCAGAACTTCAGCGTGATGCGCTGCAGCTGGCAAACGTACCGGCCGAGCCCATTTTGTAGGGGTGCCCGCGGAAAACCGGATTTGAGAAACAGATGGCTATTTGACATTTTAAATCGATTCCCAATTGTAATGTAGCTGCAGTTGGTGTTGAAATATACAGTTTCTCAATTTTCGTAACCAAAAACTACGTAACCTCACGCCGCACACAATATGTCAGCTGTTTCTGTTGCTGCTTGTAGACAGGGTTGCCTAACATAACGAAGAGATTGAAGTGGGCACTGTGCTACAAAAAGCCATAGTATTTTAATGACATAAAATTATTTAATACTATATTGGAGGAAAATGATTAATTACAAAATAAAATATTTTTATTATTTTCTTGAAAAATTATTGCAAACTAGCAACTTCAAATTAATAGTAGACAAAACTTTCACTAAGCTGGCCGAATTCTTGTAGTTTGTGACACGATGCGACCAGATTTATTACTCAACATAATGATTATTTATTTTCTTTTATTTTTACTTATAACGATTTATTGTGAATTTCATTAGCTGTTGCGAAGCAGTGTACCCAAGGGTAGTCAACAACAGAAAACCGGTTATTTTTGCCTGTGGGACACTGTGCGTCTAGCAGTTAACAGCCCTGTATTATTTGCGTCTGATAACGGCGAAAAGCGGCACGAAAGAGAGACGGCGTCAATTCAAATGCAGCAGCGTCGCGTCGTTTTTCTTTGAACTGTGGGGGAAAAGAAAAAATAGAAAACGTGCAACGTGTTAGTGTGGCCTCGTTTTCAACAGTTTGTGGTGCCTTATCAACGAATTATTTAGCACAACAAAACGATAATGGCCACAGTGAGTAACAAATTACAATATATTCATTGAATTGCATTCATGTAAACAAAACGCATCGCTAGACTATTGCAGGTTCAAAGTACCCAAAACTTCGCATGGCCGCAGCATCCAATGCTGACGACGACGATGATGATGATGATGAGGAGGAGGAGGAGGAAGATGAATCTGGTTCGACCAGCTCGTTTAGCTTACAGGAATGCATTAACGAGTTCCGTGCACGTCGAATCAGACGCGTCTCCACGCAAAGCCGAGATCGCGAAATGCCAGCAGCTGGCGGCGAAGACCAAAAAGGTGCTCCAGTTGCAACCGCTAACACAACCGATGCACATCTAATCAACCAGAATTTGTGTAACAAGGCGCAAGAGCGGAAGGGTAAACCATGCAAGAATGGCTTCTGCTATTGCTTCACCAGTGATAGTGGCGATTGTGCTTCAACGACGGCGCCGCCACGTGACTGGCACGTGCGGCAGCAAAAACGCAGCAGGCGCTCCGAAAGCAATAAGGTGTGAACCGTAATGAACGCTGTCAAATTTACATAGACTTGATTTTATATACATATACATACAATATACTAATTCATGCGGTTCTTCATACAGCTGGGCGTCGCACAGCCGCCGCTGAATAATCTAAATGCTCAGCAGCAGCGGCAGCAGCGGCAGCAGCCGAAACGGAGTCTACAGAAGCAGCCAGCTGTAATTGCTGCAGGACACACATCCATTACTACTAACCCCTTGACGGCGGTCAGCAGCTTGCATGCTGTGGGCGACAATGCGCCTCTCATACACATTATACAGGAGCTGCGTGATAACTGTGTTATATCCGAGGTGCGCGTCAATCGCGAGAAGCTATCGGGCATCAATCAATCGACAAAAACAACGACCACGACAACGTCAAACTCATCAGCTACATCCTCCAAGCTAAAGGCAACTGCTTCCAAAATGCGTCAATGCGAGGCCGTCACCTATGAGCCCACAGCGCCGGCGCTGTCCAACATAAGCGAACACGAGACACCGCTAGAGGAAAGCGAACAAGGTCTACTAACAGAGCAAACTAGCCTAGCGGGCGGCAGTTTGCATTCCACTCGCCGCAGTTCACGTCGCAGCTCCAGTGGAGGACGACTGCTGCAGAAGCGTCTCTCCCATGGCCAGGTGAACTTCAAGACTCACGACATAGAGCAGCCGCCGCCTAAGCCACCGCGCCGCAGCACACAGAGTCTCGATGATAAATTCTCGTTATCATCTTTGACCTCGACAACGCCTTCGGTGCGGGATGCCGAACGCGTCCTAGATGAATTTCTACGCAAGCATGGCGTGCAGCTGCCGACAGCCGAAAAAGAAAGCTTGCCCAAGTCCAAGAGCAAGCGCAAATCCTATCCATTAGGTAAGTAGGAGTTACAATATTAATGGAAAGGTGTTAGGCTATATTAACTCTACAATATCTACTATAACTAATACGGTAGTTAGTTTAGATAATTTTCATTGATGCCAAATTAATATACAACTAAAATTGTAGAAATAAAATGTATGAAAAAGAAATTTCGACGATCTTGATCTCTATATTTCGCTACATGTATGCTTCACATTTGCAGCTGAAATTGAGAAACCGATGCGTGTCCATCCATTGCCCAGCTGTCCCTCGTTGAGCGACATTGAGCGCGTGGTGGAGTCCAAACGTGGTGCACATTATGCCAAGAATATACACATGGCCAGCAAGAAGAGCGTCGTGGCCGATAAGCCCATAAAGGACTTTACTCTCGGCTGGACGGAGCCCAAAATCAATGATATGCTAAACTATGATATAGCTAAGCGGACGCAGTTCAAGACCAATGCACCAGAGCCAGCTCCACAGGTGGCCAATATAGGTTGGCAAGTACCGGTGGTGCCCAAGGTCTCATTGGACACAGTAGATGGCGTGAGTGATAATCTGGCCGTCAATATGGAGCAGAAGCAGACGCCTATTAAGTATCCACGTCTGCCCAAGCAGAGCAGCCAGAAATTCATTTGGAGCGAACAGTTACGAAGTCTGACGCCTTGGAGTGGCAACAAGCAGCGCACAGGATTACGCAAGAAATCCAAAAACTTTTTGAATAACTCCAAAAAGAAAATCTTGCGATTTGTCTCGCCCAAGAAGAGCAACCAAGAGCAGTTGCAGCGAGAGCATAGCCAACGTCGTCGACCCACTCCCCGCCTCTGTACAGTGGGCGTGCAGACCAGCTCTATATCGCAATTGGATTTGCAGTCCCAGTCACCGCCGGGCAGCTATCATTCCCCAGTACAATCAACGCCAACGGCCACCACAAGCTCCATTCGACAGCCTCAATACAAGGATAGCAGCGAGCAGCCCTATTTCGATTTCGAACGCAAGGTGAAGCCGCCAAAGCAGCCGCGTGCACAGCGTCCACGCAAGTTGAACTTTCAAGGCAACACTAGTTCGGCAACCGCTGCTACCTATCGCTCTTTTCACAAGGATCTAGATCAAGATGTTACCATCACTAAAATGGGCTACTTGCTGGGCAACATACGAGCCAAATTGGAGGCTAGTGATGAGCGCGCCATGCGCACATTTGGGGTGAGTTGAATTTTCATTTTCAAAAATATATAAAATATATGTATGTATATTAATCAGAATCATGATTTGAACAAATCTGTCTGCTGAAAGAATTAACAGTATGAGCTAGAAACTTAACATTCTACACGAATGTCCTTTTGTGCTTGGTGATCGAGCTTAAGTGCTTCATCGATAACTTTTTCATCATGAATTAAATTAGAATGCTTTTATCAATTTACTTATTTACAACAAATTTAGGTGGCATTTATTATTAGGTTAGGGAGACATTTAAATGCTAGGCCAGAGCAAAGACTGCTCCGAGCGCATAATGATCCGAGCCGAGATAGTGATTGGGTATCATGCCCACATGGGCGCAGCAATTGATTGTTGGCAGTTGATAAACGCTTAGTATCTCTAGTTTCCGCCGGCTCTGCTGGCATACAGAGCGCAGAATATAGTCGACAGTGATCCATTCGTCTTGCAGCGTGGACGCTGTGCAGTCACCGCAATTTAATGCCTCAAAGTTAATCGCAGCCGGATCCTCATCGTGGCTTAATAGCAGCTGCATGGGCGCCGTATGTAATTCCGAATTAAAATCTCCTGTTAAAATTACAGGCGTGGCATTTTGGGTCGAGTCTGTAGCAAAGCAGCGCAGTTCTGTGAGCAACTTGCTCACCTGGGCACAGCGCACATCAGCCCGTCGTGGATTATAGAGCAGATGCGTTGTGGCCACAATCACTTCATTGTTATCCTTGGTAGATTCCTCGGTGCTGGTCGGTTGCTTTAATCGAAATTTGGCTAATATAGCCACATTCTCACGATTGAGCAGTGGGACATCTGGATCGTAGAGCTCTACAGCCTGCTCCTTTAGCAGCTGCAGCTTGCAGGAATCATATATTATGGCACAGCCATCGGTGCGGCTGCCTGTCTTCTTTTTGTACACATATTCCAAGCGCTTGCCACTGCTGGCCTTCAAACGCTGCACCAGTATGGGTAAATGATCGAATTGCATCTCCTGCAAGCAGAGTATGTCTGGATCCAATTTGTGAATCTCGCGATGGATATTCCGCAAACGATGTCGCCACGTTAGCCACTCCTGCCTGATATTCACATAGAGAAAGAAGTGCTCCATTAGCAGGTCCTGAGCGAGTATGTTGTACGATAGCAGCTTTATTTTCGATAGAGAGTTAGCCTCATAGTTTGATGTTAGCTTCCATTCCCGATTGAAATCATAGCGTTGCTCCATTTTCTGGCTTGGCTGGCGCCTACTATACAAGCTGTTGCGTATGAATTGTATTCTCATGCTTAGTGGTCGGAGTTGGGATTTATACATTGGATATAATTACACGGATGTTAGAGATGTAAAGCAATTGTTTTCCCTATCCCGACCAGAAAATATAAACAACGCCAGCCAATGCCCGTCTTACACACTAATGTTGTTTTGACATTCGCAATGCAGTGTACAGTTAATTGCCATTCACACATCGATAACAATGATTGTTATCGAACATTGTGAGAGCGCGCGCACTATGGTAAAAGTATTAATTATTTAAATTTGTTAGTCGGAATCACAAGTAATTTGAGCAATTTGTTCCTATATTTATTTAATTGTAATTTTGTAGAACATAATTAGAAAATATTTTTCACATATTGCAGGCGAGCTCACGTCTGACGCATGAGGAACAATTACACAATGTGGAGCTGCCATCGGATAGTTTCGATTGCGTTGATGCTCCCAGCAGACGTTTGCAACGCTCAACAACATCTATGCAACGGCAGCATCGTGCTCTTGAGCGGGAGCCAATTTACTCAGAAATTGAAGAGGATTGCATGCTGGTTAGC